ATTTGCTAGCTTAAGCTCATTAAAATTATTAAAAATATCTCCTACATTCATTCTATTAACAATCAGCGCGGATAATACTAACGATTAAGTCGTTTAATTGTAAATAAATTTTATGTATGAGAAGCAACTTTTAAATAATCAAAGGCTAAGAAACCGGCTACTAGTTTTCTAATTACGGATGTTAAGTAAACCATCTAAAAGCTACGTCATCGTCATTAGCTAGAACCCAGACCAGCCGGTACTCTAGCTGCTAGAGCTAAAGATCCAGCAGCCGGTACCGTAGCCACTGCTTTATATATATATATATATATATATATATATATATATATATATATATATATATATATATATATATATATATATATATATATATATATATATATATATATATATATATATATATATGACTAGATCCCCTTATAGTCGACAAATCGGGTGCAAAATTTCGACGAAAAGTCGACTTGAGTGGAAAGTCGACAAAATCGGGTTGACCTAACGTTTTTCATTGTATTTTTATCAAAATCAGTTTTTCTTTCAAGTCTTTTTGCCAATTTTTAAGAATATTAGCGGTTTTTGAATAAATATACAAGTTTACTAGTATTTAAAAGCCGTTGATGAGTACTTTATTCAATTTGACATTTAAGGGTTATATATCTTAACAAATTCAAAATACAGACGTATGGTCGACCGCGCAGAATATCTCCTAAATCATGGCATTTAACATATATCATGCTATTATGGAGCTTAAAATGTTTACTCATTTATTCATTGGAACTTCCTATAGTTTTTTGTTAAATATCAATCGTAGTACAACATATATATGAAGTTTAGGAGATATACAAATTCGTTCTGATAAGTTTTATTTTTTCTCACGTTACAAGCGAATTTCTTTACCACACGGAAAGCTTTTTCCTGGAAACTCTTCTTTTTTTATCAATGTTTTGTTTTGAATTTTTTTAAAAAACGAAGGTTTTCATTTTTATTTTGGACACAACCTTTAAGAATTCTATTTCTTAACCATTATATACTTTTTAAAATATAAGGGTGCTTTTATTAAGGAATTATTATTGCAAAGTAGAATATTTAACTGCTTATTAGAAGTCAAATATAACAGCAGTACAAGGCTGTATCTAGATATTATTTATTATATATCTAAGATTTACTTATAAATATATATTTATTAGTATATTATAGATATATATTAACAGTTTACTGTTAAAAAGTTATTATACAGTTATTCTTATACCGCCTTATTATTATACAGCCTTATTATTATATAGCCATGTTATATAGACATTTGCATATATCTATAATGTACTAATAAATATATATTTATAAGTATATCATAGATATATAATAAATATATATATAACTGTATAATTTATATACTTATATAGATATACACAATATAAAATTTATACAGCCTTATTATTATATAGCCATGTTACATTGACATTTATATATATATATATATATATATATCTATAATGTACTAATAAATATATATTTATAAGTATATCATAGATATATAATAAATATATATGTATAAATGTATAATTTATATACTTATATAGATATACACAATATAAAATTTATATGTAAAATATTAGCTAAATTATTGTTAACTCGTTATAGCTGCTTCTTTTGATGACTTTAATACCTCTTGTAAGAGTTGACAAGTGGGTTTTTTCTGTTTCATTTATTGTAAGCAGGTAAATTATTATCAGCATAACTGTGATATAACTGTGATATAACATGATATAACTGTATAATTTGTTGTCAGCAATTTCTAATCATCTAAGTTTCTTAATTCATAAAATTTTCAAGTTTTACAAAACTTTTTTTATTATTTCCTTGGAAAAAAAAAAATTTTTTAAATAGTTATTCATTTAATTTTATTAGTAATTCAATTTAAAACAATTAATAATAATTCAGAACTAAGAATGTTTAACCATCGCCAGTTCATTCGTCAGACTCTGACTATTGGAAAAAGTTAGTTGTCTTTGATTCAGGTAATCTTATTTCGAAGTCTCAAAATATCTAAAACAATTTTTTTGAAATAATGAGTTGATATTTTTTCCAACATGATTATTTTTCATTTTGTATAATTTGAGTAAAATGCGTATATGCAGATGAAGATCAGTGCAGTAATGAGAGTGAAGTTTTTTTTCCATTATCCCTTGGTCCATTAAACCAAGTTTTTAGAAAGTTTTTAGCTTAAAAATATTGTGAACTTTTCGATTAAATGACTTTGTGTAAAGCTTTTTAACATAGTACTTTCTTAATTAAATATTTCATATATCATATTTAGAAATCTATTATTAACAATTCTGGTTTAATGTGCGATGAAGACCTTGAAATTTTTGAAAGTGGAGAAGAGACGGATGACTGTAGCACAAATCATGAAATTGATTTTGTTGTAATAATGTAATAAAGTCACAGTTTATTTTTAATAAATTTTTTATTAAAATTTTTTAAGTTAAGTTAAAAGATCTGCTTTAGAATAAGTTAAAACTTTGATATAATTTTGTACAATAAAAGTTTAAAAAAGCAATTTTAAGTGTGAAAAATAATATGCGAGACTCAGCAGCTGTAGAATTGCTAAGAAAACTAGAGGTGTACCAGATATTTTTGACGGATATGCCTGATATTAAACTTTTTAAAAGTTATTTAAGTGTTTATGAAGAAAAAACAAGTCTTGCCAGTCTACAATAAATAGTATTCAAGATCTTACTTGTTTGACATGGGGTATGTACTAAAGATAGTATTCAAGGGGTATGTACTAAAGATAGTATTCATGCGGTATGTACTAAAGATAGTATTGGGGTATGTACTAAAGATAGTATTCATGGGGTATGTACTAAAGATAGATATTCAAGGGGTATGTACTAAAGATAGTATTCATGGAGTATGTACTAAAAATAGTATTCAAGATCTTACTGTTTGACATGGGGTATGTACTAAAGAAGTATAGAAAATAAAAAATAAAAAAAAAAAAAATTTGGCTGTAAAAACGATTTTTCCTTATACATTATCAACACATATACCTGTGTTATATCAGTTTTTTTTTATTTTATCATTTTAAATCTTAAACACTTTTTAATGTAAAATGGCAAGTTTCTTTTTTCAAGTAAAGCAAACTTTTCAAGTTAGATTAAAAAAAAAAAGTTAACTTTAATTAAAAAAATTATTATTGAATATTATCTATGTTAATAGTTATCTATGTTTTTCACTGTTATTTGTTATTTTTTTAAGTCTCATGCTTTGGTAAAAAATACAAATAAAGTATTATATGAAGATTTGTTAACTACAGAACCTTCTAAGTCAAACAACAGCTCATCTGATGAAAAGGTTGAGTTTTTTAAAATTTGGTTGTAAATTCAAAAGAAATGTATATACATCCTAAATTTGGATGTTTTAAAGTAATAATAAATATATTTTTAGTAGCGTTTACTATCAAGTTGTTTATTAATAATCAATTTTATTTGTTTTGTTTTTTGTTAGTCTTATTTTATTGCAGTTAGTGGAAATTTTCGTTTGATTTTAAGTTTTGTTGTTAATTTTTTTTTCATATACTATTTAATAATAGTTATTATTCATTATTTAATGTTATTATGTTTAGTTAATTCATTTGTTTTAAGGTTAAACAACTAAACAATTCACATGTGAGACCAAAAAACGAAATCAATAAACTATCTAAAAAAAGTAATCCAAAACCAAAGCGACCTTGTTTTATATGTGGTGTGCATCAATCAGCACTTTCAAGACATTTTCTAACACATAAAAGTGATCCTAGAATATGTGAGGCTTTTAAATTGTCTAAAATAGAGCGTCGTAAAGCATTTGATTCTTATAAAAAACAAGGGATTCATCAGATTAACTTAAATGAAGTCCAAAACAGTAATCCAAAGTTTCCAAGGGAAAGAGCACAACGTTCCAAAAAAAATATGCAATCTGAAAAATTCTTAAATTCAAACAACTTGCTAATGTGCTTAAAGTGCAAAGGTTTCTTTGCAAAGAGTTATAAAACCAGACATCAGATAAAATGCGGTGAAGATTCTTGTCAAGCCTTAATACCATTTATTGCAATTGGGGAAATAGATAAATATAATTCTTTAGACAATGATTTCAAGTTAAATATTTTTAATGTCATAAATAAAGATGAAATCGGCACGCTAGCTAAAAGTGATAGCATTATTTTGATGATAGGATCTCGCTTGTATGGTAAAATTAAAAGAAGGTTTGATAAAAAGTTGGAGGTTGAGAAATCGGTTAGGTGCTCAATGCGCCGGCTTGCCAACATTTATAATAGATTTACAATTGAAAAAACAGAATATCCTGCTAAAATGTTAGCAATTGAGCAAGCTAATTCTGGTGATATGTTTTTGAGAGGAAATATTGACTATTTAAAAAAAAGCCATTGAAAATTATACCGATAAAGGTGAAGATAAGATAAAATCTGCTTTAAAAAGTGGCATCTATTATTTACTTAAGGACTCAGCTGAGAAATGTATGGGATATTACTTAAAGACAAATCGTGATAATTTGTCTAAAGAAGTTTCAAATTTTTTTTTAGCTAGTTTAATGTAATCTTAAATAAATCATTTTTTAAAAAAAAAATGATTTATTTAAGATTACATTAAACTAAACATATCATTAAAAAAAAAATTCTGTAGCTGCTGAAGTGGAGGTGTTAAATGTGTTATTTCCCTGCCCCCACAATTTAAAAGTAGAAAAGAGAACCTAATAATGAAATGATTGTCCTTATTTATAACCTTGGATTAGCTCCCTTACTATAAATATCAACTGATATTTAAAGTGGGGAAGCCAAATTAGTTATTTTCATATTTTTTTGTTATTAACAGTTTTTTATTTTATTTTTTTATTTTAATTCACCTCCTCAAGGCTGAGAAGGCCACTACAAACGAGGAGGCTACTTATTTGTGGCTATAACTCTCTCTCCACTCTATAACTCCGAAACACGAACCTTGACAAACAAGGCCGCTGCGCGGAGAAACGAGTTGGTCGCGGTACTACCAGGGACGTGGTGGGGATCGTTATATAATTATACTTATTTGAGCACAGAAAGCAAGAAAATATTTAAAAACAAACAATTTCTTATTTTCTATATAATAATTAGACAACTTTCGATTATTCAAGTTTTAATAAATGTGTTTTAAACTTTCATTTTATTGTATCGAGTTTACGTTCAGACATAAGCCCAAATAAAAGGGTAAAATTTGGGGCATTTGAGGCAATTAGATATATGTGCAATCTTTTAGGTTTCGTGGGTGGCTGTAAAAGTTATATAATATATATTTAGGTCGTAAATATAACCAATGGGATAACGAAAATGAGATTGCGTTTTTTCAAAGGTTTATGCAGTATGTTAGTTCAAATATAGGATATCCAAGTAAGTGTATATTAGACAAGATTTTTATTTAAGACTTTCATCAACTTATCTTTTTAATTATCATTTTTAGCAACTAAGGTTGAAATAAGAAAAAACATATGTTAAAAAATTTAATAAACATTTTTTGATATTTATTACTTTTTGCAAGGTTACAAAATATTACAAAATGATTCTTATTTTACTTTTGATTTAAGTAGAAATGTTTGTAATCTTTATTTTCAAATACCCAGCAGGCACACAACGTTGTATTAACGTTGTATTTACGTTAAAATTACGTTTTACGTTACTTAACGTTAATCTAACGTTGTGTCAACGTAATCTTTTTAACGTAATATTCTTACGTTGAACTAACGTTGACACAACGTTAAAAAAACATAAAAATATTTACGTAACATTTTAACGTTGAGCTAACAAACAGACAACGTAAAAAAACAAAAAAATATTAACGTAGTTCTGTTAACTATAAAAAATCCTACCGTAATTTTTTACCTTTTTTTTTTTCTTAAAGATGGCGTATGAGAAAATAGGAAATAAGTGTAGTTTCAAAGGTCTAATTTTGAATCTAAATCAATTTTGAAACAAAATCTAATTTTGAAGGTTTGAATTGTCTTATAAAAGACATTCTAGGAATTTTTAAAAAGTATTTGTAAATAAAGAGCGTAAACTTTTCCATTTTCAAATTTACTTTTTTACTTTTTTTAATCAACTTTTTTAAATCTTTTTAATAAACTTTTTTTTACTTTTTATCTTTTTAAACAACCTTTTTTACCTTTTACCTTTTTAATCGACCTTTGCCTTTTACCTTTTTAATCAACCTTTTATTAGCAATATTGATAATAAAAGATTTAACAAAAGGTTGATTAAAAAGGTATAAGACTTGATTTGATTTTTTATTGTTGTAAAAATCTGTTCTCTAAACTATACAACAACAACAAAATTGCTCAACCTCAAAAAAAAGTTGAGAAAGGAAAATAAAAAAGGTCTATGCTTAACGCTTAAAACAAGGCCTGTTAACTTTATGATTTTAACTATGATAGAAATATTCATCTGTATAAGATTAATGAACTAGCTAGTAACAAGCCTAGTTTGTTGAGAGGGTAAGAATGTTTTTTTATTAATAAAAATTTAGGTTTTCAAATTTTTTATTATGTTCAGTTTTTATTATTTTCTTGTTATTGTCAAAACTACTAAAATTTGGGTTTATTTCAGAATAATAAAAATGAATAAACAAGAGAAAAATCAATACTTGAGGAATTGGAGGCAAAGTAATCAAGCCTTAAACAGTGTACTTGTTAATGAGGAAATGGAAAACTCTATCAAATCCAATATTAATGAAGTTGAGAGTACTGATTTCCAAAACCTTGAAGTTGAGAACTATAATGACTTTTATTTTGCGTCCGATAAAGATACTTCTGGAACTGAGAGTTTCGATCTAGACTTTGAGGTACATATGAGCGATGATAATCAAGATCAAAATGATGGAGTTCTTGTTACAGAGATTGCCAAATGGCTTTTAAAACACAGAATAACTAGAAATGCAGGCGACGAATTGTTAACTATTTTACACCGGTATGGTCATCATGTTGATTTACCGAAATGCACAAGAACAATTTTAAATACTCCTAGGAATGTTCCAAGTGAGATAAAATGTGGCGGTGAATATGTTTATCTTGGTATTTCGAACGGAATATCAAGAACTTTAGCAGTCAACCAGCATTATAGATTTGAATCAAATACTATTTCTCTAGTTGTCAATGTAGATGGTCTTCCCTTATTCAAGTCATCAAACACAACGGTTTGGCCTATATTATGTATGTATGATAATGTGACCCCTTTTATTGTAGCATTATTTGTTGGTGATACTAAGCCAAATAATCGTGATGATTTTTTAAATGATTTTTTGCATGAATATGAGTTATTACTGGCAAATGGTTTTCAGTATAATGGAAAATTACTGGATATAAAAATTTCAGCTTTTGTGTGTGATGCCCCTGCGAGACAGTTCCTAAAGGGTATTAAGTCTCATAGCAGTTACCACGGCTGTGAGCGCTGTGAAGTTGAAGGGACTTATGAACATTTTAGAATGCTCTTTTATGATGTTGATTGTATTTCTAGAGATGATGACTCATTCCAAAATGATATGTATATTGGTACTCATCAAATTGAAAGATCAATACTAGCTGACAAAGGAATTAAATGTGTTACAGAGTTTCCGTTAGATTACATGCATCTTGCCTGTCTAGGTGTTACTAAACGAATTTTGTTAGCATACAAGGAAGGTCCTCGAAAACAGAAATTGTGTCCAGCACAGCTGAGGCAAATATCCACAAAGCTTGAAGAATACAGTGGGAAAATGCCTTCTGATTTTGTAAGACAACCTCGTGGCTTAGGAGATTTAAGAAAATGGAAGGCAACAGAGTATCGTCAATTTCTGTTGTACACTGGTTGTTTAGTGTTGAAAGATATACTTCCCTCTGAAAGCTATAAGCACTTTCTTTCTTTTTCTCTTGCAATGCGAATATTTCTTGATGATAGTTTTGAAATCCGCAACAAATTTTCTGATTATGCAAAAGATCTTTTACAGTATTTTGTTTCCAATTGCATTGATATATTTGGTCCAACATTCACCGTTTATAATGTACACTGTCTAACACATCTTTGGGAAGATAGCAAAAAATTCTCTACTTCTTTGGATAATATTTCTTGCTTTCCATTCGAAAACTACTTACAAGTTGTGAAAAAATTTGTAAGAAAGGCTCAAAATCCTTTATCACAGATTTTTAAGCGTACACGAGAGTTAGAAAGTTTAGCAATGAGTGGGTTGAACCAAAAGCATATTTTAACAAAAATTTCAAACAGTGATAAGGATTCTTGGTATCTACTGCAGTCTGGTAATTTTGCAAAAATAAAGGAAGTCAATGTTGATGATACTTATGAGTGCGACATAATCAGTAAACAACATTTTCAAAGCCTTTTTTTTGAACCATGTGACTCCAAGCTTTTTCAAATTGTTTATATTAAAAGCTTTGACAATATTTCAAGAAGAGAAAATGTTGAAAAGTGTTCTTTTTTAAGAAAAGCACTTTGTCTTCCACACAAAGAAGGTTTTGTCATTATGCCTTTATTACATAATATTGTTTTAACATAAAGTTATTTTTATGTTTTTTGATTATGTTTTGGTAACATTTTTAAATTAATTGATTAAGGTATGTAACTTAGAAATTAGTAAGGCAAGTCTTTAAAATTACTTTTAAATATATTTTAGTAGTTTTTATTTTTTTTATTGTTTGTTAAATTAAATAAATTTTTCTTTTATTTATATTTCTAAATATTATGTATATCATTTATACATATACATGTATTCTTTATGAGTATATAAATTAATTACTTTATATCTATATGCATAAGTAATATTACTACTTATGCATATACTTGTTATTGTATCATTTTTATATTTGTATATTTAAGTATAACTTTTTTTTTGCTTTTCATATATATTTTAGAAGATGAATATTTCATGAAAAGAATAACATTTGTATTTTTAATAATAGTCATAATCGCGACCAGAGTGCTTATTTATTCTATCTCCGTTTTAAAATGTTGAGAGAAAATATTAAGTGATCTTATAAAGGTAACAACTATCTATGCAATAAATTGTAATAATAACTATTAAAAATATTAATTGCTACTAAATTTACTAATCATTTATGATAAAAAAATTATATATATATATAAATAAGTTCAAACGTTTTACTTTTATTTTTAAATATTAACGTGGAAAAGTTCTTTTAACATTTTAAAATGGAGTTGAAATAAATAAGCACTCAGGTCACGTAATACTCTTTCATAAACAAATTATTTTTAAACTTGATTTGTAATGTCAAAATCTTTTTGTTGTACTTGTAATTTAACAGAACATGTGATGATGATGCCATGAAGGCAAGCAGCTATAATAGTACTTTTATATTATTTGTTTCAGCAAAAAATGACTCAAAAACGCAATTTAAAAAAGGCTATAGACAAATATGTCATGTGTGTATTTTTGGAAAATGTAAATGGTGCTTTTGCAGAACAAAAAACTGTTGTGCCTAAGAGATGGATTGACGAAGAACTAATGTTGTTATGGTGGCCAAATGGTATAAATGTTACCAACAAAAAGTCAGTTAACCCAAATAAAGATACCTGGAAAAAGTATGATTTAAAAGAAGTTGTTATTGAAGGTCAGTAATAAAATAATATTTGTCAAATTTTATCAATTTTATCAAGTCAGAACATTGTATTAAATGAGTAATTTCACAAATATGTTGTTTTCAATTTTTGTGATTTTTAATAGGTGAAGAGAGTGTATGCCATGAGTTTCTTTTGCATACAAGTTCTTCAGAAAGCGATGTAAAAAAAAAAGAAATTTAAAGAATTTGACTCTTCTAAAGGTATATTTTAGTTGTGGCGACTTTGTTTATCATGTTTATCAAAAAATTTATCATTATCTGTTTTCTGTTATTTTCTTATATATAATATTTACCATAATTTAAATTACAATTTTATATACATATGCTTGATCATAATTTAATTCCCAAATAACTCTGCTTATTATTTTCATTATTTTCATTATTCTGTGTTTAGGTAAAAGTGTTCCAAACAAACCAACTATTTCAATAATGGATGTGATAGAGAAAGCTACTGAAGAAAGTTCAAGTATTTCACATCAAACTCCACAATCTCCTTCACCAATAATGTTTTCTCCTGTTCATCATCATCATTCAGAATCTCCAGATTCTTATGAACCTCCGTCTTATTCATCTGGTGCATCTCGTTATCCATTGAAACGTACGTCTAGTCATTTGGCCAGATCACAGTGCGGCCCTTTTCAGGGTTTATCTGGAGATTTTCACTATAGCTCCCCTGGAAGTGTATTTCATACTTCAGCAGGGGATCCAGAGGGTACAACTTGCCATTCATCTAGAACTTCATATAAATCTGAATCCCCTGTTCATTTAGATGTTCCTTTTCATACTAGTTCATTTCCACAAAACACCACTGATTTTTTAATTAATGCTTCATCTTCAGATAATCCTCTTCATTCTTCTAAAACAAAATTTGTACGAAAAGATTCAGCCAAGCTTCTGAATCAGAAATTCCCAATGGATACTGGAGGTATGATGTTATTAAATTACTGTTTTTTGGTATAATATGATAATGATAATGATAACAAAGCTTTATTCAATCATTTGATAACAAAATCTCATCTTAAAAAAAACAATTAATCATTTTTCTTAGGTTCAGCGGAAAAACTGTTTTTTATTGATATGAATTAGTAAAGATGCTCTATTTAACTTGTATTATTAAAATAGTGATTTTTTTTAGAGTTCCAAAAACTAGTACTTCAATTACTTCTTGAGAAAAATTGTTGCAAGTGTGCCAATAAAACGTCAGAAAGCGTAAACATTACCTTTTTTAAAAAGATTGAGTCACTTGAAGAATTGTTTGAACTTGAAACCAGATTAAAAGACAACGGGGAGTATAGTAAATTGGTAATTTATATTTTTATAGTTTGTTTGTTTAATAGAATGCTATTTCAGTTCATCATTTTCTTGATGAACCTATTTAAACTGCTCTTACATTTTACCATATGGCGTAAAAGGTAAATTATAAATATCTATAAATAATATAAATAACCTTAAAATCAAGAATTATTATAGGCTGATAGCCATTCACATTCTGTAGAGTTTTTTACAGTCTTGTTGATAACAAATTAAAAAAATCTATAAAAACAACAAAATATTGTTTTGTTGTTTTTATAGAATAACTGTGAAACAAATGAATCTAATCCTGTCTCAAACATGCACTTTTCACTAGACTTCTTTTTATGTTTAGCTTTGTCACCTCAAGAAAGCAGGTGGAAAAACTGTTAAAGAAAATACAAAAAATGTTATGGTCAGGTATGTGTTTTTGTTTAACTCTGCATAATCAAACTGTTTAAATTGTGAGTACATTTTATAGAAAATTTAGCAGAAGAAAGGATAATAATAATATAGCAATATAGAAGAACAAACAATTTTAATGTTAATGTTTGGGGAAAACCTTAATTAATGGGACATTGAACATTGATATTGAATGGGACGCTAATTGAATGGGACAAATCAAATTTGCATACAGTTATCTATGGTTGGATGTCCAAAGAAATGTTAAACATAATGAGTCAACAGACCTAATAAGTATTCCTATCATGGTTTAAACATGATGGGCCAAACACAACATTAGAAATGTTGCGTTAATGGGAATTAATAACACATTAATTTTTCCTGATGAAACCAATTTTTTTGTTTTGGAGCGAGAAGTGCATCATAGAAAAAGAGTTAATGGTTATAATTATTCTTTTGCTATGATTTATTGCTATGAATTATTATTGGTTATAGTCAATTTTCATAAATTATATATTTAAACAACTTTAATTTGTATAAATTAAACGACTTTATCAAAATTTTAAAAGTATTCTACAAAAATTGTCCCATTCATTTAGGTTCTCCCCTTCAGATTTCAGCTTTAATTGGATGTCTAGATAAAAATTTATAAAAAAGAATGAACCTTTCGAAATTATACTTTGTGAATTATTACTGTAATGTGTGTTTAAAATTATTTAAATAAGTTTGCTGGAATTGTAGTATAACCCCTTGTTATTTTCGATTTATTATTTGTTATTACGTTTTTATAGAATTATGGAGCATCATGTTATGGCCAAGTTGAATATGAAAGGAAAAATTCGTGGTGATTTCAAGAAGGTAGCATTCGAAGATAAAAAGTTGTGTAAAGCAATAATTGGTACGTTAGGTCAATATTTTTTATCTATCTTTCCTCCTTACATATGTTTTGTATTCTTAGATATATTTTAGTCTTGAACCTGAATGGTTAGCGATAAAAAAAATCAAACAAATAGTCAGTTATAAGAAAAATATATGTTTAATTGACATTCCATTTACAGTATCCTATGTTTTATTTTAGAAGCCATCCAGCTAACGCACGAGTCTTCGACAGAAGCACAAATAAAAGAACAAATAGGAAGCATATTAAAGTTTTCTCCATTTGTTAATAAAAGCAAAAAAAATAATATTGAGGAAGCAAGCGATTGTTGAACAATTATTTATTTGTGGCTTTTTTTGGTAATTTATAATATATGCTATATACAAAAGAATATACAATATATCTTTAAAAAAAGTCTTTTTTTTTGAAAATATTTTTGCTAGCCCTTTGTAAGGGGTTAAACACCCATATATTAACGTAAGATATTGATTGTAATTGTGTTTAACATTTTAAGTTAATATAATTATACGTTAGTATTCATATAATAACCATGACACGAAGTCGCGTATAAACGGCTTCGGCTAGGGGTTATATAAATATAACTGTATAGTTGCATTAAGATTAAATATTAAACCCAATTACAATCAACATTTTACGTTAATATAAAACGCACATGTTTTTCCAACTTAAATTTACGTTAGTATAACGTTAATCTAACTTTAGAATTTTACGTTAGTATAACGTTAATACCTAACGTAAATCCAACGTAAGAATTTTACGTTACAAAACCTTTCCATTTTGCCGAACCGGCAACGTTGTACTAACATAAAATCTAACGTAAATACAACGTAAATACAACGTTGTGTGCCGGCTGGGTATAGTACATATTTTATCTATTATAGGTCGACAAGAAATGACTGAATTTGGAATAAAATACGGGTTTGGCTACGGTACAGTTAGAAATAAAATCACTAACGAAAGAGCAAAAAAGATGCGAATCGTCTCCCAAAGAATAAACGATATTCAAATGTAATTGAATAGAATTTAAAACAAAAAACAGACTTAAAAACATTTTTAAATATAAAAAAGATAATTCTTAAGCCACGGTGATACTTGTGTTACAAAAACAGGCATTTTTTCTTTATACCGGCCCTTGTATTTATAAGAATTGTAATCCAGAATAACCACTTTTTTTTATTGTCGACTTTAGGAAGATATAATAAAAAAAAAGGGTAAAGTCGACTTACAACAAAAAAAATTTGCTCGAAAACGTTAAGTCGACTTAATATTGAAAATCAAATTAAAGTTATGAAATATAAAATTGCCAAGAGAAAAAAAAGCCATTCCTTTGATTTTCGACAAAAAAAAATTAAAATTGACAATGTTAGACTGATTTTTGCAGTGTCGACTTTCCGCGGGTATTTTATTGCTGTCGACTCTAAGATCATCTAGTGGTATATATATATATATATATATATATATATATATATATATATATATATATATATATATATATGTATATATATATATACACACAAACACTATATATATATATATATATATATATATATATATATATATATATATATATATATATATATATATATATATATATATATATATATATATATATATATATATATATATATATATATATATATATATATATATATATATATTTATCTGTGTGTGAGTATCTGTATATACATATATATATATATATATATATATATATATATATATATATATATATATATATATATATATATATATATATATATATATATATATATATATATATATATATATATATATATATATATATATATATATATATATATATATATATATATATATACATAAAGGGCCTTTCAGAGGTTTGGGAAAAAAGGCCCCAAAAGAAAAATTTGCGCAAAACGCGACGCAAGATAATGCAAAGCCATTTAAGTCTTCAGATAGATCAGGACCCGATAAATGTCTAACTTTAAGACTAAATGCAATAAATTAGACAGGCCGTGGCGCCTTTTGTACGTTTTATCAAGTCAACTAGCCAAGAGACGCGCTTGTCTACTATAAACGCATTTTTGGGAGGTCTGGGAATTAAGAAGGTACGACGTATGAGTGGAATGTTACACTGTTATTTCATTGTGAATGTTACAATTCAGTTTTCACAAATGAATGATTCATGCATAAATCATTTTGAATTGGTTTTTATTGTTTGGTTTTTTCTATATGAAATTATTTGTCACTATAAATGAATAGTTAAATATGTCACATTTTGAAAATGAAATCTAAAGAAATTCACTAAAAGTAAAACAGAATGAATAAGTTTTAATTAATTTTTACAAACGCTTTTCTTGCTTTTTGTTCTGAAAATGCAGCAATTATATTTGAAAAATCTAGTTTTCGTGCAATATCCTAAGTTATATTCAGCATAGCAAGTCCATTCAACCGTTCGAGCCCCATACTTAAACGGTGATAATTTTTTATCTGCTTTAAAACATTAAATGTGCGTTCGCCCGAAGCCGTCGATGCAGGCAAGCTGATAAAAATTCGTAATGCAATTGTAATGTTTGGAAAGACACCTGAAAGACCAAGTCCAAGTATTTCTTCTAGTAATTTTATTGGGGAGCAGTCTAGTTTAAAATTAGCACCATAGATTCTTTTAAAAAATAAAACCTCATTTTTAAGTTCTTGTGATATTTCTTTGTCATATTTGTGCTGAAAATGATGAGCAGCCAATACAATATCAAATTTTTAAACTGCCAGAGAAATCCAAAAAGTTTACAAATCTCTTTTAAAGACTGAAATCGTCGCGTGAGTTTAAAACTCACATGAAACACCCGTATTTCTTGCAAAAAATTTTGACTCATTTAAAATTTTATCAAGTTATTTACGCAACCTTTGAATGTCATTACATAAATTTTCAATGTTATCCTTTTCAATATCAAGAGTGGCATGGCGTGCCTCGGTGATTAGATTTGTCTGATGAATCATTGTGAGTAGCTTCATCCAGATAGACGACATCAAAATGCAATCAAATTTGGAAATATACTTTTGAATAGCATTGAGTTCCATTTTAGCCTGGGCTGCTAAATGTAGCACCCCAAGTTCATTTAAAGCACTTCTTACTGAGTTCAAGTGTTGTGCAACTGGTTTAACACCATCAATCCGTGCTGACCATCTTGTTTTGTCATTCCATGCAACAAAACAGGAAGATGTTATTTTAAAATTTCCCACCTTTGAAGAATAAATTGTACATTTGCTGAATTGTTCCAAAATACGCTACTACTTCTTTGCATGATTCAGCGCAATCGACACCAATTAAATTTAATAAGTGATTTCCGCAGCTGGAAAATATACAGTTTGTATCAAAACCGCTTGCACCCCGTTATACTTTCCAGCCATATTAGCATCGTTGTCGTAAGCTTGACCAATGCAGGCTTCGAAATCCAGCTTCAAAGTTTTCAATATTTCTAGTGTTCGAGCAGCGATTTCTCTTCCAGTTTTTTTTGAAAAATTTTCAAAAAAAATAAATCTTTCTTTAACTGAAAAGTTTGAATTATCTAAAATTTTAACATAACGAATAACCAGAGTAGTTTGCTACTTGTACAAGCAATCTGGAGTAGCATCAACTATTATTGAAAAATATTTTGCTTTCACAATTTCATGGAGGATCGCTTTTTGAACGTGTGAACCTCAAATATTAATAAATTCGTTCTGAATTCGCATTGAAAGATAATGAACTTGTATTCGCTGCTCACACTGTTGTGATTCTCGAACATGTTTAACATGCTCAGCTAAAAGTGGGTCATATTTGCTAAGAAGCTCAATAATACCTAAAAAGTTTTTATTCGCTCGATCACCTATTCGTTGGTTAGAACCAAAAAGTGATAATCCACGTTCAGAAAGAAAAAAAATAACATCTAGAATACGTTGGAATAATTTTCTCCGATTTTCAGTTTCAGTCTTGAGTTCTGATAAAAGTAAATTATCCACTGAAGTTTCACATAATGCTGCTCTACTAGCAGATTTCCATACAACATAGTTTTCTTTATGGTAAATTAAACTTTCGTGCGACGGAATACGATCTTTTAATCTTTTCCAACCACCTTTGATGCCCCATCCGTCAGAACTAGAGAAAAATGACACATTTACAGCATTTTTGTTAAAAAGAAACATGGGGCACAATATAAAGATTGTTTTTCAACGCTCCAGCACAACCAGTCTCTTTATTTAAACGATAAGGAAATGCATGATGATTAGAGTCTTTAACGATATTAATTGGAATTTCAAAACAAGTAATCTTAAGAAAAAATATACAAATTTATAAAACGAATTATGTTTTAAAATAATTACCAGAACAAAAAAATATTACTATTCTTAAAGTTGTGAAATGTAACGTACAAATGTAATATATCAATTTTATACAAAATGATAAGAAACAGTTCAAAACAAATTGATTTAATCTTGTTTGATGAATTCCAACTAAAAAATTTAAGTAAAAATGAAGCTACTAAAAAGCAGAACACTAAGTCATATCTTAAAAAATCGTACGAGTTAAAAGTAATTGTATCAATTTGATCAAGCGCGCCCGACGGAGGGTTAATTGCATCATTACATGACGTAATCTTTATCATGTCGAATTTAGGTTTGGAAATAAGTAATTATGAAAAAGAAATTAATTTATTTATTTTAAGTTAAATTGTTTAGAATAATTAGATTAAAATAATTACTTTGATATTTGTTTAACAAATTTAAACAATGTGTTTTTAAAATGTGAGGCCCCAACAAAATCGGAGGCCCAGGTCATATGGCCCATGTGGATAAGTCCATAAAAAACTTTGGTTTTTTATGGACTTATATCTATAAGTAACAGAACGATGTTTTAAGACTGCAAGATTCAGATTATCAGTTGATTGAAGATAGTAACGGTTATTTGCATTTTTTGGGAAGAAATTGTTGAAGATAAGAGGTAAGTTTTTGTGTTGATGATTACAGAAAAAATGGCAATTTAAGAGTTGAACAAGGTCACATAGTTTAAGGATCTTAGAAGTAAGAAGTAAGAAAAGTATAAGAAAAGCTTAGAAGTAAGAAAAGCACATTACTATTAATTTGTAATTCTGAAAATGTTTTATTTTTAAAGCTTTGCTTTGAAGATGTGATATCCTTAAAACTGCTTGCTGTTGAGATTGTCCTTATATTTGACAAGCATATTGTAAATAAGAGCCAAAAATGGAATGATATATATTTAATAGTGTTTCTAGATTGACATAATTGCGATCTTTTGCAAGCATTTGATCTGCTCAATTTTATGGCTAAGTCTTTAATATGGGACACAAACGATTGGTTGGAATCAGTTATTATTCCAAGATATTTGATAGAGATTACAGAAATGATTTTCTGGTCACTTAATCTAAAGTTTAAATTTTTATTGATTTTTGTTTGATTAGATTTAAATATGACCAGTTCAGTTTTGCTACAATTGAGAAAGATCTTATTTGAGTGAAGCCACTGATCTAAATTGGCAAGACCATGATTAATGTATTTGTTATTTTTTTTTAAAGATTTGTTGATAATGAGCAAGTTAGTATCATTAGCAAAGTGATAAGGAGTTGCAAACTTAATTGAATTATTAAGGTCATTAATATAGAGAAGAAAAAATACTGCTCCTAACACTGAGCTTTGAGGGACACCATTGGAACAACTTATTTGAGTAGATATTGAGTCATTGACTGAGAAAAACTGGAATCTGTTGTGAAGATATGAAGTAAACTATTTAAGAGGTATTCCTCTGATTCCATAATACTCTAACTTCTTGAGTAGGATAGATTCCATAATATTCTAATATTCTGAGTAAGATAGAATGATCTACTGTATCAAAAGTGTTTTGTAGGTCTACAAAGACACCACATGCAAAGTTTTTTACGTCAAGAGTTTTTCTAATAAACTCAGTAATTTTAATGAGTGAGTTGTGGAATGA